TGGAGCGGGAAGGGGGGCGGGGGGGCGCGGCTGCGCGCCCGCGGCAGGACGTACCGCACCGGTGCGGCGGCCGGGCGGGCAACGCGCGTGTAACCGCCAGGTCTGGGAGGAAGAGGTACGTGGGGACGGCCGGGCACACGCGTGGGTGCTCACACAACCCTCGCGGGGGGGGTAGTCGCCCCTCTCGGAGAAGGCTCCTTCCCTGAAGGCAGGGCTGGGGCACGGACCCGGACACACTGGTGCGGTGCCTCAGGGAAGGGACGGACGCGGGCACCGGTACAACCGATCGCACAACAAATCATGTCCACCCCAAGCCCTCCTAGCACGCTGTCCTGAGCTGCTACAGCTACTTAGGCCTTCATCTCAGACCACAACGTTTCTGGTGGGTAGACGAGGGTTAATTTCGGTGGGTCACTGATTCCCTGGCACTCATCCCTTATAAAATACATGTTTTGCTCATAGTTCAAGACCAAAGGAGGTCAGCTTTGGAAAGCGCTCCTAAGGGAAGGTGGTTCTTTGACTGGCAACCAGCAACCCATGCCCCAGATAACGCCACCACCTTGAAACAACTCTTCTGATGTGTTTGAAGGCTGTACTCAACAGACCACAGGCTGCTGTTTCTGATGCTGCACTAGCTGTGTAAATTGCTTCCTCTTGATGAAAACACCGTGGTCCCATCCTGCCTGAATACTTAAGCAAAAGATGCAGTATGTTTTTCTTAATGGAGCTTTAGGAAATTGATATTTAAATTGTGCTCTGCATAAGCTACCAGCCCTCAGACTGTCAAAATGAGACCCCAGAGGGTAGGCTTTTTCCATACAATAGAATGACAGATGTCTGTCAAAAAAAACATACAGCAATTCAAGGAAATCTCCAGATTGCTCTGCACTGGGCAAGCCACCAGCAACGAAGCAGAAGGTGAAGAGAGATGTCACAAGGACCAAGGTAGTGTTTTGCCAAAACATCCCCCAGAGAGAGATGAAACAACAGGGAGACTGTTAAGTTTCCATCAGTATCTAAATAAGGTGATAGGGCAGATGGTCTGGGCGTTTGTCCTGTGGCTATGCCACATGTATAAGAAATTTCAGCAGAGCAGCCAGCACTGCAGTACAACACGCATGTTCTGTCACACTGAGATCTGAACACAAACAGGTCCCTCTTTAAGGCAGTAAATATATGGGAGCAAGTCATCACTGCAGTCAATACACCTTCAAGTAAGCTAGCAGAGGAAAATAAAACCACACAAAAAAGTCCAGGTTGTCTCCTCAGAGAAAACAAAATTCCTCCTGTGACCAGAACTTCAAAAAAGAAACAGATTGAAAAGGGGACCTTGAAAGCAGGACAAGAAGCTCTGCATACAGGGCAAACATACTGAGGAATGTACTCAAATGTACTGAGGAACACACTGCTGCGCTTGAGCTGCACAAAACTGATGCCCTTTGAGATACCTTATCTGTATGCACATTTCACTGGTGCCAGGGATCCCAGCATTGCCAATAAAATTGGGGGAGAGCTCTGGCAAGCCTCATTCACACAGAATGAGCAGAGCTCCTATGTTACGGATTGATGTACCTCATCTGTGCATGATCTCTGTTAAAAACAGTGCTCTGAAATATAGTTTGGGTTTGGAGAGCGGAGCCAGGTTTCTGAATTGGGCAGCTTTTGGTGAGAGGTACAAATGTTAGTCTGTATTGTACTTTAGTGTCAGATTACCTGTGAAACCATCAGTGTGAAGGCACTGGGAGTAGGAAATCAAAAGTAATTTTTTGTGGGGCACCTGTCCTATGAACTACCTCCCATCTTAAAAATTGAGGATTTATTCCCACATTTGATCACAGCAATTCTTCTCTGCAATAGAGACAGTGCTCATCTTATTAGCACCCCAGCATCTGTTTGGATCCAGATCTGTTCTCATAGACTTACTTGGGAACAGTTATAAAAAGTGAAAGACTTCATAATTAAGAAATTGAGTTCCTACCTAATAAAAATATTTCAAGCACCCACTGTTTTACTGTGGGTATTAGTATTGGAATATATTTTAGATTCAGAAAACCCTCTCCTGTCTCCCATCCCTTCTAAGAGATTGTTAATGGACATCTGAAATATAATTCATTACAGACTGAGTCAAACCAGATTTTCCATGATAAACTATCAAATAATTTTAAATAGTAAGGAAAAAAAAAAAGCTTTCTGCTACTGTAAAGAGGCCATGCCACAAGGTAGGTAAAAGGAATAGAAATCCAGATGGCATGTTTTACCTCCTATGGCTGTGATGTAGCATACGGACGCTGCTGGCCCAAGATCTCTGAACACATCAAAGTGGGTTGAACATATGGACACTCACTCACAGTACAGCTCTGAGAGACCTAAGGTGCTGCCTACACATCAAAGGCAACAGCTTAATGCTGCGTAGGGTGTTGACAGTCTCTCTCAACACCCTCTGTTAACAATAAAATGTGTGACCCTTTCTTAAAATCCTTACAAGCTTGACAAGTGCTTTAAAATACATCTCAGTGAAATACCTATGTAAATTTAAGGTAGCCACTTTATGAATGCAAGAATAATTTAGAAAAAACAGATTTAATATGTTAAACCTCAAGTCATCATTTTGAAGTAGTAGTTAGTCATTCTATTTCTATGCATTTGGTCAATGACAATATCTAATTAGCTATTCCAAAACCAATTGAAGTGGCATAAAGAATAATGGAAACAATTTCCATCAAATTGTTTCCTCTCTCCACATTTGTTATCAATATTCTCATACACTTAAAAGCAAACACAAGCAGTACTCACTTATAAACCTCTAACCATGGCCATACATTATGCTACAATAAAAAATTAGTTTGCATATTACTAAACCTAGTTTACAGGCATTTAAAAATGTCAACATGTTTCTCTTCAGTTTGCTATCAAAGAACATGATTAGACATCTACTGAACAGAGTAAGTTCACGAACGCCACAGGGAATGTGCAAGCTCATATGCAAGCAAGGGTCAATTAATAATGAAAGGTTTTTTGCTGGAGGTACTGACAAACACAGTTGGGAAATCTGTAGTAATTAAGATCACTTACAGATAAGATAATTCAGTAGCATGTGATATCACTGGTGATTAAGTGATGTGACTTCATATATGTAATGGGGAGGTTTTTCTTGGGCCTCATTTTAATAGCCTAAACGCTATTTTTAAACAGATCCAAAAGCACATGTGCATCATCCCAGACAAACTGAGATTCAGTGAAATATCAATTCAGTAACTGTCTATTCCACGTGAGAAACGTGGCAGAAGTCTAATTTACCTTCTTAGCTGCTATAAAAAGAAGTCTCATTTCACTCTTGCCTTTAAAAAAGTATTTTACATACTATCAAATACATTAAATCAAACCCCACAGATAGCAGACAGCATTGTTTTGTGAAGCACAAACTAACAAAAGGACACAATCTCAGGCAAGGAGGTTATATTGGGATTGTTAAGAATTTCAATAGACACTCTACATGACATTTTAAAACCCACACCAATTAAGTAAAAATGTTTCAGAGATTTAGTTCATTCCATTCATTTGAGTATTTTCAGGAAGTATTTTCCAAAAGACTTTTAAGAAAATGTAATAAACTGGGAACTTAAATTTTATGTTGTCATTTTTCTAAATAAACTTCTTGTAGAGGTTCCCACAAACAAATGCCACAACAGCAGCGATTACCCCCAGAATATGTACCTGCACGGGAGGCATTTGGTCATTAGGCAACTTAGACATGACAGACATAATGCAGTTTCAAAACCTCTGCATATAGCAAATATTTTCAAACAGAATTTAGATCTATCTAGCCAGCCTCTTAAAATGATTGTGTTAATGAAAAAGAAGTATTTAGCAGCTACTTGGCAAAACAGACAACTGTGCAATATGTTGGGCATGTTACTGGATGCCAACGATACTAATGTTTCACCACACTGATTCCAAGGACCTCTACATTCTTGTGCTATGTTTTCGGATTTTTAAAATTATTTCATTAAAAACAGATCAGTAAACTTCTGTGATCCTAACAGTGGATAAGCAGCTTGTTATGAGCCATCTCAGTATGTTTCAGTGGAGTATCTGTCCATTAATTCATATCAAAGGTTCTTTAACATGGGACCACTCAGCACTTCTTCATACACAATTGTGAGACAATGCTTGGATATCTTAATTACATTAAGGATACTATGGTGAGATTCAAAAATTATTTACTCAGATGAGCAAAGGAACAAAAACAACTAGAGAATCAGGATAATCTTCCCTAAAATAGATGTTTATCTGCCAGTTAATTTAGTTGTGGAACTCAGAGCTATATTAAAACCTGTGGTGCTTCTAGCTGTTCAGACAGCAATCAACACTGCTCTTTTCTTCCAATTTTTCTCCATTAGAACTTTTGTTTGGGAGATGATCTTGAACATTTTTGCTACCTACATTGAACAATCACTGACAGACATCTAAGTACTACCAATTACATAGTGAAACCAGGTGGTAAACACAAGGCAAATTACAGCTGGGAAAATTTGAGTCTCATAATTTACCAAAAAAATTAAAGAACAAAACCAAAACAAACACCACCATCCCAAATGAGGAGTTCTTTATATAAGGGAGGTTACATGTCCCTCTACCCTCAAAAGAAAAGGGAAAAAAACCCCAAATCCAATCCAGCCTAAGAACGAAGCAACCTTAAGGAGATTCTGTATTTCATAAAGCCTGAAGCAGGTCACTTTGGGGGTTGTGATGTCATTGGGAATGAAAAATACATAGCTGCATCATAAAAGCTGTAGCACAGCAGAAATAGTATTTAAATATTCCTTTTTAAAATTTTTGTATATGTTTGGCAACACAACAAATTGCTGTGACACTATCAAGCATTTTGGATCCAGGGTGAGGTGTAGGTTCTCTTGCTCCTTTTACACAAGCGCTTGGGTTCTTCACACAAGCTCCTGCCATTGCAGGGCTGCCACCCTTCTCAAAATATCCTATAAAAGAAGTTGCAGGGTACAACACACAGATGTTTTCTTGCTGCTGTTTTTGATAGAAAACACAGCTGAGACCCTTCTCTTACCCTCTTTTCTTTAATCTACAAGTTTAGTTTTGCCACTCTGAAAAGTGCTGTCATCTCAGCAAAAATGATGAAGCCCAGCTTCCACCATCTGCACTGCTGAGCATAGAAATCATGGAAGTAGTACTGTGCCAGATAGCTAGTGAAGGGAGAAGTCAGAGGTGCAGCATAGTGATATAGCACAGACCAAGACTGGCCACAAATAGAGGAGCAAGGTATATCACGGACACTGATGTACTGCCATATCAACTGCTAATCATGCTGTGTTCATGTAAAATTAGATGTAGGATGCTATTAGAGTGTTTTTAATTTGCTTTTTGATAAGCAGTTGTTTCAACTATATTGAGTGAAACATTTGTTCCGTAAGAGATAGGTAGTTCACAGATCTCCCTGCCTATTTGTCAAGTACAAGCTAATTCCTATGAGCCATTGTACTACTGAAACCTGAGAGAAAAGCAACTATTTCCTAATGGCACCATGAATTACTGTGATGAGTACATAACTGCATGTAAGTTAGTATACCAGTTTCCAAAATCCCTGCATAAAACAAGCTGCATGTGCACGTGGTGACATATATTCACCTTGCAACTTTTGTTATGCTTGTTTAACTATCCTTGATAACTTGTAAGACTTCACATACTCTTACAAGAAAAGAAAAAGAACTCATTTCGCATATGCACACAAAAACTACTCCAATTATTGTTTATAGCACAAAGGGATACCACCTACCAAGGTTTTGGTTGGTACCAATCAAGTACCCAGGGAATAAAACTCATAGATAGATAAAAAAAAAAAATCTATCTTCACATTGTCAACAGAGGCTCACATTCAAAAGTTACGCACCTGTCTTCTCCACCCTTAGATGAAATAGTGAAGTCTTTACCATTAAAGATGAAACAGTCATTTAATTTCTTTCCCCTCTCACCTCTAACCTGAGGAAAGTTTCAGGGCATTCAAATTTCAAGAGCAAAAGAACCCAGTGATTGAGCAAGAACAATACCACACAGACTACTACTAAACTTCAGAGACGTACAATTTTCCAACCAGAACCACGTAGAGCACATGCAGCAAGAATGATACCACTGTTAAAAAAAAACCAAACAAACCCACAAACAGGAGCCTTTACAAGTACAATTAAAAATTTATTTTTCTCCTTCTGCATTGAAGTGAGTACATTTTTACACATGACAGTATCAGATGATTTTTTTCCTGTCACAACTAAGGTTAAGTTTATTTTTCCTTTGTAACAGTTCAGAATATCAGCAGGGAAATAGAAAAAAGAAGAAACACATAACTGTGGATGGTATATTATCCAGCACCTCTGGTTTTCCTGGTGGGCTTTTTTTCCTTAATATAGGCTTAGACCACCCCCACCCACCCCAAAAACCCACTCACAGCACACTTTTGGCAGAAGTCCCTGAATATACCTGCCCTCCCCCCCAGACATTCAGTACATTTTAAAAAAGAGGCTCAGTGGCACTTTCTCTTTAATATGACTTCAGTAATGTTTTGAAATACAGTGCATCAACACTGCAATTCACTTTGCTGTAAGGCTAACTTAGACATAAGGCAAACATCACCTTAGCTCTCAAACATTCTGTAAGATACCCTTAGTACATACATCTCTGTTAAATGCAGAGATGCCTTGTTTCCCTTCATTGCTTTTCCTCCTGATCAAAAAAAGCAATTCAGAGTGATGGTGTGCTATACTCATCACAAATAGCAAGGTACTAAGTAGTTAAAAAGAAACAGCAATGAACAGTATTCACATATCCAATACTTATTTCCATCACTTAAATAATTTTATCTGCAATTACAAAATACATACACTTAAATATCTTTGTAAGAAATAATCATCTAAGATATCACAGATTATGATTTGCTTTTGATAATCTAACTGCCCTAACTCTGGCATAAAGATATACTTGGACAGTGTTACTACCTAGGATGTTTTCCTACTATAGTTTTCTTAAATATACAGTAAATTCTCTCTAGCTATTCTGACAGATAGTGCAAATAAAGACATTCTTTGGGTCACAATTTTAAAATATTACTGCCAATGCTATCCTCAATATTATTTTAGTAAATGAGTAACAAAATATTATAGGTATACACATTTTCTAACATTTGTTTAACAATGTGTTTTTCTCAGTTACCTCAGCTTAACGCAGATCACAAAAAATGAATAAGCTACAATACTGCTCACCTATCCAAAAGATATGTTATATTTATACTTAAATAAATATATTTATAAACCTATCAATAAGTTGCCCATTGCTTTCCATTTATTGTTATTATCCAATGGCATACTACATCAAATCATAATATCAAAATATCTTGAAAGACAACAAAGATCACTTCAGAAGTACTGCTCAAAGGCAATGAAATAATGCTTTGAGAGCCTGTGCACATAAGTTAGGCCTACATAGATCCAGCACATTGCATAACAGAATAGTTTACACTTTTAGAAAGTCAACTACTGCTTTGCCCTAGCCAGAGATCAAAAGCTTATCTTAAATATTACCTATCAGAGATGTGGCAACACAAAACAGCCCTGTTTGCTATCTAATGTTGCTTGCTGGTTTTGCACGTTTATTTGAAGTTACTGACACCTGATTGCTAGTTCCGTTAGTGGTATTTGTTGCAGAGCCATTCACAACGATGTAATCAACTTTGTTTTCCAATTTCACGAGGCGTTGTAAGATATCATCCAGAAGAACAGCAATTGTTCTCTTAAGATCAGCTGAAGATAATAGAAAAAACAAATTAGATATTATTTACTGTATGTGGAAAAGAACCACTATTTCAACATACTCACATCTTAAGACTTGCTATCTAGCCTTCCCACTGTACTTTCTGGGAAAGAGTACAGATTAGTATATAAGTATAGAATTAAACAGCTGCTTAATTTTTCTTTAATACCATTCATCTGTTATTTTAGGCAAGGAGGATATCGCCATAATAGTGAACTGTGAATGAAGACAATTAAATACTCATTTATAAGAACAAAACCACTAGCTGGAGCATTAGACTAGTGACTATCCAAAGTCAGTATTTCAAATCATCCAGAGAACACCACTAGAATACCCAGCTAGACACCTTTCAGCCTTGGACAGCAACAGAATATATTAAAAAACTTTCCGAAATGAAAGAGGTAGTTCTTAATAGCTTTACTCTAAATAACCGATCTATCCCATACAAGAATTGCTATGAGAAAGTATCTTACCACTTCTTACACAAGCTATAAATCAGGAAAAAAACCAAACTCCATAGATTTAGGCCTATATTGATTGAAAGACAAGAGAAGGGACAGTAAAAAAATCCCCATATTCTGGAAAACAAAAATAGTAACAGACCTTTCAACAAAAGCTAATTACACTGTTGTCAATGTTCATATCACCATCTTCTCTCAGACTGGGAAAAAGTGAACAAACTTACCAGATTTTACAAGATGTTAAGACACCAACACACACAGATACAGACACACAAACACACTCTCTCTTTTCCACTCCCCTCCCAATCAGTTCTTAACTAACCAGAAAAACTGGGGAGAAAAAACACATGTATGTAAGTGAAAAACAATGAGTAACCCAGATAAAATTAAAACACTGGTTGTATATTAAAAAAGAGCCACACCTCAAGTCAGTCCCTCCCTCTAAAATTAACTAGTTCCTGTTTAGTAATGTCATCTTTGAATAAAATAATTTTTTCTAAATTGCTTTAGAATTCGAGTAGAGCAGGGTCTGCTGTCAATGACACACTGTGGGTCATGTACCCAGGAATATCATTCTGTGTTCAACAGTCTGAGGGAAGGAACTGTCTACTCAAGCTGCAAGTCTGATAATCAGCATGTAGATCAAGAGTTGACTTAATTTTTATTACCCTCAGACAAAACCTGTGAAGGTAAATCTCATTTGGAAATACGTTGTAAGACTTCTACAGCAGTAGAAAGCTGCAGTACACAAGGGGTTTTTAAAACAAATTACACAGAAAATTACGCAGTAGGGGCAGGAAATCCATGAAGACAAGAAAAAGGGTGCATGGGGAGAAAAGGGGGAAGGAAAAGAAGTAGTCTCTTACTGTGGTAAAATGTTAATGAATGAAAAGAATTAAAGGCTAAGACATTTTGATACAGTTGCTTCTCCTCTTGGGTTGCTTCCTGCTCATCTTGCCATCACAGACTTGCCTCCCTGTTACTGAGCAGCAGCAAAAAGAGTTCAGACACATTTTTGCTCTTTGAACTCTTACCAGAGCACATCTTACTACTGGTAGAGCTCAGCCTTTTAAGGATTCCTTAAGACGGGGATCAAAGTACATTACTGTAAATCTTCACATATATTTGTTTTTTAAAAAGTATTTCCTTTTTAAGACTTGTACCACCCTTATTTCCAGAGATATTTTTTTTTTTTCCTTTATGAGAGAACACAGGTACTTTCTCCAAGCCTAATCCCTAAGTGATTAAGTAGAGCTCATTACAGCCTCCCCTCAGGAGAAGTTACAAGGGACCAAAGAGTTCAAATTGTTAAGACATTTCTATAGTTTTTCTAAAAAGATCTCAGAAGTATCATCTCAAAACTATCTTTTCTGTATTTCAGAAGACAGGCACAGGCTCCAGTAACATATTACTAGTGAATACTGGAAACATACTCATCAAGTTAACAGGTAAACTGGAGAGATATGATGCAGTAAGTATCAAAGCTCTAGAGACAAAGAACCTTATCTCTAATGGCTACTTCTGAAGCAAGGGGAGATTCTGCTAAATTCATAATTGCCTTGCAGTCTTAAGACTGCAAACTCAACTCGTATGTTGCTTTCTGTTTCTTTTTCATTATTTTGGGACAAAAATTAAAGAAATACAAGCAGAAAGTTAGCAACGAGGCACAAGAATACTGAAGACAATCTAAAACTTCATCCTCATATCACGCATGTGTTTATTCCTTAATAGCTTAAGGTTCAGAAAAAGCACAATGGTACTGTTAATCCTGTAAGTAACAGTAGTCATATACCTGGAGATCTAAAAAATTCCTGGAAAACAGAAGTCTCATGTCTCAATCCTGATTTTGCATCACATCTTAAATCGTCAGTTTCAGTGAATAAACTAAAATCAAATCAATTAACACACTTTTTTTTTCCTCTTAAAGAGCAGTATATATTACTTTAAAAAGGAAAAAAAAAGGTGTAACTTTACAGTTTTTAGGAAAATAAGATATTTGAACAGCTAGTTTATTTTTTTTCCTCTTACCATATCCTGCCATAGAGGCTCCAGCACCACCATTCATTAAATTTTTATTTTCTTCTGCCAGTGCTTTGACATATCTTTTACTTAGATCTAGTATTTGTCCACGCAACTCGGCACTGCTTTGGCGTCTTGGATACTGGAAAGTGTAGCGTAGCAACATCAAACCCCAAATGATCCCAAAAACTAGTAAAAACATACTCAGTCTCTGGGACATATTTTTTCTTGAAAATGTTAGAAACATTTCTGATAAAGGCCACAGGCGTGTCTTAATTTCAAGATAAGTAATTGAACTTGGCTCTGTCAAATTATGTTACATATTAACCAGAAGTAAGATTTCTATGAAGTGAAAAGTCTTCTGGCTGGATCATCTTGAATACATCTCATGTTTTAGTTGGTCTTGATTCCTGAAATTTGTAAAACATCACATGGTTATTCAAAACTGCTACAGTTCTTGAGATCAAGGACAAGTATAAGTTTCCAAAAGCAGCATTACTGCAAAATCTAGCAAATAGTTGTGGATTTGTAACTGCTTAGAGGTGCAGCCATCTTTATCTCACCTTTTATTTACAAGGTTTCCCCTTCTTATTGTTACTAATTTTTATTCTCCACAAATCAAAACTTCTATGCTTCTACAAATCACTTTATTGTAAATACCATAATTTGAACTGACATTAAGCTCAAATGCATTTAAAACAAAATGCAGTATCTAGAAGAGACTTGTAAAACACTTACATGCAACATTTTAATGAGTTATACACATGTATCTACACACAAGGAAAAGATCTTGTGAAATTATTCACTTCATTCTTATTCCTCAGAAGCATTTGGCAAGTATAAACAGATAAAATGAAGAACAAAGTTTCTTGCTAGTAAATAATGAAACAAAACCAAAATGAACCAGCACACTGCAACCACTTTTAGCATTTTACTACCATTTTTAAAAAGTCTTACCATAGCAGCCAATTCTGATCCCTCAGTAGATTAAGGCTTCAGAAGAAAAGCAAATGGTATGAAAGCTTCAGCAGTTAAACAGCAAATGTCCAGGCAGTTTGAAGCAGTATGAGTCAGGCATCTTCAGGGAGCTCTGTGTTGGGGGAAGGCGGGGAGGGAATAGATAAAACAAGGTGCAGGACTAGAGACCTTCATTTTCACATAGAGTGTTTGAAGTTCAGGCCTTCAAGCCACATGCTTTTAAAACATAAATAGATTCTTAAACTTAACTTGAAGCAATTGTTAGGGGAAAAAAAATAGAATCCATTTCCATTTTATTACAAATGCATACATTTGAATGCCCAATAACCGATTTCAACATACTTTTTAAAAAAACTTGGTGAGAATCTCACTGAAATGTGTCCCATTTCTTGTGTTACAAGACAGTGACAGCAGATGTTCCAAATTCATCATGTATGTCTATACATACATATTTACATATGTATCATTCTCTCCATTTTTCCCCCTCAAATCCAGTCTTTTCAGTCTCTTTACATGTGTATACCTCTTATTTCTCATTTTACAGCTCCTTCAAACTTCTCCAATTAGTCAATACTTTTTTGAGAGGGAGTTTCTATTATTTAATGTAGTCTGGATAAAGGTATTGATTTTACATAATAATTATGTTTCCCCTGTTATTCCCCACATACTATCTGACATGAGTGCTTTTCAGACTCAAGTTACACATTTAATAGAGTTTCCCACTGGACTTTCTACAGTGGTACTTAGGTCTCCGGTTTTATTAGAATATTGAGACTGAATTTTTTATCCTGCTTAGCACTCATTTAAACGTAACGCTGTCTCCAGGGTATTTTTCACTGCCTCTGCTGACCAGTTCAAGCAGCCTTACGCCAACACACCATGGTCTGCTGCAAACACAAGTGTCGCTGCCAGCAGCGTTCTAAGCTGTCTTTGTCACCCTTCACCTTCACTCTTCAAATAATCCTCTCAATAGGCAGTCCAACATGACTGATTCAAGAGGCAAATTTTCTAAGTGCTCTAAAAAAAACATGCATACCTAAATTATTCTGAATATGATTAGCCCAAGGCAGGAACAATATTAGGGCATGGACACTGAAGCAGCTGTAAAGTAACAAGTTATTGTGTATAAAGTGACCTACAGTAACTGCCAGTACACAAAATCTTACTTCTACTGTTGGGTGTACTAATGTAAGTGGCAATCACAAATCACTGAATGAGGAAGAGCTTACTTCACCTTCACTGTGGGATATGACCATGCACATGGAGAGACAGCCAACATGCAAACTTGAAATCCCACTGTAAATTCAGCAGGATGTACTTTGTTCAAATAATGTGTTTATCCCCCCAAAAACTGATTTTAAGACACAAATTTGTCATAAGTACGCAAGAGAGAAAACAATAAAAACTTATATTCTACAGTATCAGCACAAATATTTGGAATTGTGTGGTTACAGATTTCCTGAAACAGATCCTCCATTAAACATAAACTAACCAAAACTTCTTTTCCCTAGCTCTTTGCCAAATCCATGGCTCTGCACTCACCCTTTAAAGCATACACTGCACATCATTATGCATCTACATATTCCCTGAGTAGTATCAAATATGATGGAAAACATTTACCTATGAGGTCCAGGAGTAGGGTATTCCCATAATGGCTCAGAAGACCAAACAGCATCTCTCAAGGAGAGACAAGTTTCAATCCCCGTTCCCAGAAGTCTACAATTTATATTATTTTAAAAGTTGTCTGAAAATAAACAGATAGCTCTTGCAGAAATTTAAATTAAGTTCAGCTCTCCACAGATCCCCAGCCATATCTCATCCTGAAGCATTTAGACAATATCACTACAGAGCTTTGGAGTGGAAATAACTCTGCCATCACGCTGTAAATAAGACCACAAGCCAGGATAAGAGTCCTAGCCAAGAGGAACAGATTGAATAAGCTCCCGCCAAGGAGCAGTAGGAATTGCAGACTAGTTGTTTACCATGTACATTTGATTCACAGTGCACACGCTGACTACTGAAACTAATGGAAATCAAGGACTTAACCTGCTGGGCAAATGGCGTAACACCCAAATACTGACACCAGGCAAAGGAACTGGGAGTAAGATGTATCAAAAAGACAACTATTTCTACTTGTCACTTTCCCTACGCATTTTTAGAGGCCATTCCCCCTTAATGCATTCCACTGTAATTGCAAAAATTCTGGGGATTTGGTCTCCTCTTTCTTCCTGAAGCATGCACTTCTAGCAACCCGTAACATGCTCCCTGCGAGACCCTTCCAAGATTTCAGAGTAGAGTAACAAAAAAAAACCCACCAAACCAAACCAAACAAAAAGAAGCAAGCTTATACCCACATGATTTGCAAGTAGGAAAAGGTTATTGGAGCAGCAGGTATACATATTAGGAAGAAAAACAGCACAGTAAGATGGATGGATGGATGGGAATATTCTTTTACTGCTTGTTGCCCTGAAGAGTCAACACTACTGTACGTGAACATTAGAGTTTAAACAAAACTTGTCCTCAGAATGGATCTTTGTTTTCAGTAATCCAGAAGTAGTATCCTGTCACATAACAGCTGTAAGAAGGAACAGTCTCTTCTAATCTTTCTTCTCCCTCATTCCCTCAACTCCTCCTTACCCACTGCTTCCTGACTAGGGGAAAAAGGAAGCCAAGACTTCCTTCCTTATGCTGACTTAGTCGGGGTGTGAACCCAGGGTTACCACTCTCCCAACCGCAGCTGAAGGGCTTTTTTTGGCAAAGGAAGTCAAAGCACTGCAGAGAGCAACAGGAAAAAAGGGCACATCAGAGCTACACCCTGTTGGAATTCGTACCATCTCTCATCATAGGGACTGAGACAAAAGGAAGATGACCATGAAGATAAAGGAGTCCTGCCAGGATAAAATCTGAAAATCTGAAGAGTGAAAGGGAAAAACCCAAAAACTACAATCCGAGCAAACAAACAAAACCCCAAAACAAAGAAAAAACCCAAACAAACTCAAATAAAACCCCTGACTTGACTGCGACAGCAAAATGGAAATCCAAGAATTCATGGAGAGTATCTTCCAGGTAATCCTTTCAATTGGCAACCTGAAGTGACTAATTCAAGTGGCAATTTTTCAAAGTTCTTTAAAATCAACATGCATGTCTAAATTATTCTGAAAATTACAAGCCCAAGCCAGGGTCAACATGAGAACTTGGAACAACATGGAATTCCTGAACAGAGCATCTGAGACAAGGTTTGCCTTTCACAGACATACAAAGAGTTTGGTTTTCTTCACTGCTGCCACTGCTGGTTATCCAAGAAATATATTGCAAAGCTTGCCAATGTGGATTTAACATTGTCCAGCAGTACCACAGAACACTGACATACATCTGGCAATGAAAGCCATGAACTAAGGCACTCATCCTCTCCAAAATAAAATAATCTCTAGCCTCTGAGTGGTATTCCAATATCAGTCATATATAAATTATATTACTGAGTACATGAAAGGAAAGGAACAAGTGCCAAAGACAAAGCAATAGAGAATCCATTATGGTTCATAATAAAGCAAAGTTCTAGTATCTCTGATGCTACTTCAACAGTAGCATCCAACTTCAGTTTGAATACTGACCCTTCATGGAAACCAGCTCATACTTACTAAACATTATACTTGAATTTTGTTGCACAGTCTTTCTCCAATTCTACTTTACTTGTCCCCAGCAAAACCCAGAGATTATATTCATGTACTACACAAAATGCAACAGTCTATAAGGCAAAGGAATGCCTCACACATCCTCTGAAACAATTATCAGGGTATCACAAAAAAAAAGGCGTACTCAAACCCTTAAAAAGTAACAACACACCTTACAGCACCGTCAGTTCTGCTAGTCAGTCAGCTCATGGAAAACAACGACATATTTGTCATTGTTTTTCTAGTCTGTCTGAGAGATCTCAGCCTTCCTAGACCACTAGAAGTATTTATTGACATCAGCAGGGCAAATTTAAAACTGTGATGTGCTGCTGAGATGGTGTGTACCTTCTAGTTTGGAGAAAAGTACAGGACAGATTAAGATGATTATTTATAAAATAAAAAGAAAGCAGCAGGCCCATCAGGTATTCTTGGTAATTAGTGAGCAGCTTTAGCAAAAAAACTAACAAAACAGAGTCAACAAGAGGTGAAGAATAGAGAAAACTGAAACCTGAGAACCCCATTCCATTCCAGGATCAAAAAGACTTTAAAGATAAAGCCAAGAAAAATGAACTGAAAATAGGGTTGTTAACAATAAAGCCACCTCTTTGGTTTTATCTTTTGAAAGGTAGAATGCCAAATACTGAGGCAGTAGCTCCTCAGTGATACCCTAGAGACCTATATCGGTCTCTAATGAACTAATATATTAAGAAAGTAGCTTTGATAAATGACAGCTTTACTCAATCTATTACTTATCACCATAATTCTTACCTGCTCCTCACTGCCAAATTATGATCAACGAAAGCGTGACACAGTGAATTCAAAAGCAAGTCCAGCTTTGCAACCAATTATTAACAGTATAAGCACAAGAAGTGATTTATCAAGACAAAGATTTAAAAAAAAAAAAAAAAAAAGCCAGATATAGTCATGGGAGACTTCATTTAACTACGGACAGATGAAGGGGAAAAAAAAAAGCCTTGTAACAGAAGGTGGGAGACAGAAATTAGGACAGTACAAATAAAAACTGACATTAATAATTGCTGTAAAATAATTGTACAGTACAAAATTAGAATTTATTACAATCTCAGTGGGAGCTTAACAAGTTTATGAAATTATTACGGATTTGAAATTGTATCTCTGAAAAATTTCTAATAAATTCATGGCAGCAAATATCTCTCAGTACAGTGAGGATACTGTATTAGTAAACAATAAGCTGTGCTGTAAACAGGCATGAGAATACCTCACTGCAATAGCCAACAAACATTTCAGGATGACAGAAATTACAGGGCATTACAGAATACCCAGCAGTATTTCCACAGTTCTATCAGCTCTATCCTATTAGTTTTCTTTTTTGCATGTGTAAATGTTTTCGCATTAGTTTTCTTTTTCGCTCGCTCCCCCAGCCCATTCACCTGTGACCTCCAAAAATCTTTTGTTTTCTGATCTTTCAACAGAAAACTTTTGAGCATCGCGGTCACTCAGCCGACAGCCATTGTGCTCACCATTCTGAGAGCAGACAGGCTAGTTCTATGCTATTTGGAAACCTCCTGGCACAGTTGCTGTGCAGCAATGAAAATGGTAAGTCTAAAGAATGACTGACAAAAAAAAAGCATAGAGCATACTCACTGACCAATTAACCTTTGAAGACAGGGACAATGAAATAAGCACCTACAAGCCCAGAAGCTACAGGCTTGGACTTTTTTGGAACACCAGAAATTATGTTTGCATTCTGGTAATTTGCAGTCTTAGGTGGCTATCCATTTGGCAGTAGGAGAACAATCTGTATAACATGCAGCTGACAAACAGGTGCCCAAAGAAGTTAAGTATCCTGCTACACAGGACCACAATTCCTGGCAATACACAGAAACTTCAGCTCTCTGTTCCTACACGTAACACCAATTCCCTTTAATAAGACATCTTACCTACATCATTCATACTTTAAATTGGTGCCCAAGGAAGAATCACACTCCTCGTATTTTTAAGAGCCCATGAGTTCTTGAAAAGATGCCAATAAAACCATTCTCCTGTACTGGTGACTTCTGCAAACCAACACTGCCCTTTGGTTCCCAGGTTCATCAATCAGGTTCACTCAGACAGCTGCACAATGCCATAAAAGAGCACAATATTCTACTCATAAACAAACAATTAAGAGAAATGCATGTCCCCAGACAAGTGAAACCATGTTTGAGCTGTCTTTTAAAGAGATCAGTTTTCAGCATGTTAAAAATTCCTATTATTGTTGCTGTAAGTTTGGTTAACAGAGAAAGGTCACCAGCAGAGATGGAAAAGAGGATACCTTACTGACAAAACGTGATGCCTATGTGCTGAAGAGACTTGAGGGCCTTTCGAGACTGCATCATAGATCAGTTAATAGAAGAAAGAATTTATATTAATACCTGTTAGACTCAAGAGAAAAGAACAGCACTACATAACACACCACCATCTTAAGAATAGGTAAGAATGCATATTTCTGGGGAAAAAAAAAAAAAAAAAAAAAAAAAAAAAAAAAGACTGCCATCAGTATGACAGCTGCTGGACTGCAGGTTTTAGCAGTTCTGTACCACTTTTGGAATGCACTGCCAAAGGAGTCTGCCTAGTGCTTGGTGTCTTTTCCAGGACATCTATCTTTGTACCTTCTCCCACAGCATATGTTCCTTCATTCCCTGCCTATGCATGCCCTAGACTCACAATTACCAAGGAATGCTGAAAAAAAAAAAAATTATCCCTTTGCCTTATGAGTACCTACCTTTTGTGGAATACCTTTAATGGTATTCTAAGTGAAATCATAGAAAGATAAGAGGTTTAATGGAATAGCAAAGACAGTTAACTATCAAGAATACCTATTCTTCTACAGTGCTACAATGAAGAAGGAACAAAATCTCCTTGTGTGCTCCCACCAGTCCCTGTCTCAATGCATCCAAAGGATATCAGGGTCAACAAAAGTCACAGCTCACCAAGTGGACAGATACTGTCACTGCTGCCAAGCTGCTCGGACTACCTCAAACACATCTTAAACCAGTAACAGTTCTATGTCCTAGAGGCTTCTAAGAACAGCACACAATCAAATGGGTTTTGTAGCTGGACTTTGAGCTGAAAACAAAAACATATCACTTGAGACTTGAAAACCCACACATCTTGTTTACAGTGGCACTGGCATAAAATCATCTGAGTGCCCAAATACTAGATCACCTTTTCTATTTCAGTCTTTTAGAAATAATGGTGATCAGCTTCTATTTTGAATACATTTAGTCCTATTTGCATTGGTTTTATGTTACACTTTCTGCCAACAATTATTTTTATTTTGCATTAAGTTAAAGGAGTCTGTTGAAGTACTTTTTTGGTACCTTAAAGCATCCTGGCTGTTTTTCAGCTCCCTCCCCCCCTTTTATTTTGCCTACTACTGTCAGTGAATGCATTTAAAATAAACCAACTATTTAAAAACAGAAATTCTTTGTTCCTTGCCTGTGGCAGTCAGCCAAGATTCAAGATTCTGAGAGGGGAAATGACTTGGCAGGGGTTGTGAAGAAAATTAAAGAAAGCAGATACCAATGGGGACAGTATATTATACTTGCTGAAGCTCCCCTCCTCCCACTGGGTCCATCTGGGCCTCAAACCATTTCTACATCTCTGTATCA